TTTTTTCGTTGTTTTCTCCCGGAGACTTCACTGCACCACCTGATCCTGAAATGGACAAAACAAGGACCTACTCTGCCCCTAGACGACTCATATGCATGTGAGTTCGGATGATAAAGATCCCAATCACTCATAAAATTCTCAAGTAAAGATGGTGTGATCAAATCCCCCCAGACTTGAACATTTGTTCGTCCTCGAACAAAAACACATGATCATGAAAATGTCTAACGTGTGAGAGGTTATGATCAAACTTGAATGGGATCTAAGGTTGGCTTGTATATGCGGGTAAAAGTTACCGTGAATGGAATCGAGTTTAGCGTACTCTAACCCTCTAGCATTCAAACAAACGACTACTAATGGAACTTCTTTCGCCCCCGTGGTCTAAGGTAGATTATACGCATCTTGCCGAGCATGTCTCTCAAACACATCTTATACAATCTCTGTGTATGATCTAACCCATATTTTTGTGATTCTACCTCGCCCTATTCTTCTTCCTTTATTCATTTTTTTTTCTTTTCTTTTCTTTTCTTTTTCACTTTTTTTTTTTTGAAACATCCCGGGCTTCTAGGACGTTGAAGTTGACGAGTGACATACCTTTTTGGTATTTTCGCCCCACAACTTAGACCCGAGCCATCGGTTTCTAATGCACTCATGTCCTCGAATGATTTTCATTAACGAGCTAATGACAGCGGAGTGTCGGGATGCTACTCTATTTATTCGGGCTTTCTTGTATGCTACGGGCTTACTAAACTTAGAGATAGAAGAATGGTTTTTGGGGAGACGTTTGTGCTTGGTTCGTAGCTTCTAATCCGCCTAGACCTTAGGAGGTAAATAATCCCACATAACAATCGCTCGTTCTAGGACTAGATTGACTATTTCTGCTTCACACGACAATCCATTCAGCTACTAAGGGGATCCCAAGTCCGATTTCTTAAACCTTCAAAACAGCCTCGCTCTACTCCTCCCACATCATCATTTGACCAACCTCTTATGCAAATGAGTGTATGCATGCCTATACCTATATGAACTTGTGCAATATGCAACCTAAGTAGAGACCTATCGTGAGACTCAATATACAAATGCATGAAGATGCACATTTTTTTTTTTTTGGATGAGAATGCAATTATGTAATGCTCACAAGGCTCAAAACTTTGTTAGTGTGTCCCCCCCAGCCTTGATTCAGGCACCCGGTGTCGAGTCGATGTCAAACGGAAGAAGAAAAGTGGAAGGGTTTTAGATGTGGAACCTGATTGAAGAGTAGAACTCATCCATGGAGAGCTTCTCGTCCTTTGAGCGTCTTGCAAAGAAAAGAAAAAAAAAATACAAATGCAATGCTAGGGGTGTAATGTTAGCGCAAATGAGAATCGGAAAATGATGAGATGTATGAGTTGGTGAAGCTCAGAAATAATGGGAGGGCCGCCCTAAATTTTGAAAACTGTCATTTTGCTCAGAAATATCAGGAGGGTAGCCCGAAAATGAGAGCTGGTAGCCCGAAAATGAACTGATTCACAAAATTTCCAAAACTTGAGCGATCGCTAGAGAAAAACAGAAGGGTACGCCTGGTTCTTCTAAGAAAGAGTTGGGGTAGACAAAAAGGGTCAAAATGTTGGGGGGTTTTGAATTTTTTTGATATCTAAAACGGAAAAAGGTATTTACAACCTCGAGATGCCCCCGAGAGCGCTGTTTTTCGGTCTCAGCTAGACCATCCCACTTTTCACTCGTGAAACGGAATCACGAGGGCTAAGGTGCCTCTCGGTCCGAGTTCATTTCCTGGGTTGTACAGTTTAACTCTCTGAGCATTAACCAAGAAAGAACTTCCCTTTCCATCATCGAGCTCGATAGCACCATGAGTAGTAACCCTCTTAACTTTAAAAGGACCAGACCAACGAGATTTTAACTTACCTGGAAAGAGGCGCAACCGCGAGTTGAAAAGTAGGACTTGATCATCCTCCATAAAAGTGCGGTGGAGGATATGTCTGTCATGCCATTTTTTTGCTCTCTCCTTATAAATCCTTGCATTCTCGTAAGCATCTAGCCGAATTTCCTCTAAATGGTGTAGCTCTAAAACCCGTTTCTCTGCTGCCGTCTTCCAATCATAGTTCAAAGTCTTGATGGCCCAGTAAGCCTTGTGTTCCAATTCCACGGGTAAGTGACACGCTTTTCCGTACACAAGCTGAAAAGGGGTCATTCCAATCGGGGTCTTGAAGGCAGTCATGTATGCCCAAACCGCATCCTCTAGCTTCAATGACCAATCCTTTCTTGACTTAGCAACCGGCTTCTCAAGTATAGACTTGATCTCTCTGTTTGATACTTCCACTTGTCCACTCGTTTGCGGATGATAAGCGGTGGCAATCCTATGGTGGACACCATACTTTGTCAAAAGGGTTTGGATTATCCTATTAACAAAGTGTGCACCCCCATCGCTTATCACTACTCTTGGCACCCCAAATCTTGGAAATATTGTCCGTTTGAACATCCTTGTCACAGTGCTAGAGTCGTTCTTCGGACTTGCTAATACCTCAACCCATTTCGTCACGTAGTCCACAGCCACAAGGATATATAAGTTCCCGCAAGATGAGGGAAACGGTCCCATGAAATCAATACCCCACACATCAAACGGCTCCACTTCAAGTATGTAATGTTGCGGCATCTCATTTCTGCGTGAAATATTCCCTGTCCTTTGGCAAGCGTCGCAAGAACTCACAAACCGATGCACATCCTTGAATAAGGTTGGCCAATAGAAACCCGCTTGCAAAATCTTTGCAGCTGTCTTGGCCGATGCGAAATGGCCTGCGTAATCCGATGCATGGCAGTGGTGAATCACTTGCCGTACCTCCTCTTCGGGTATGCATCTTCTGTACAATCCATCTTTTCCCCGTTTGAAGAGGAAAGGTTCATCCCAAAAGTATTCCCGAACATCATGAAGAAACTTTTTCTTTCCGCTGTAGCTCAACTCCGGGGGAATCACCTTGGCTACCAAATAATTGACAAAATCAGCATACCAAGGGGTATCAGAACTAACCTCCAAAGCTAGAACTTGTTCCTCTCGCAGTGAGTCATCGATGGGCAACCTTTCGTGTACTTCTAGTCTTGATAGGTGATCGGCTACTGTGTTTTCCGTCCCTTTTCGGTCTCGAATTTCCAAGTCGAATTCTTGTAGAAGCAGTATCCATCGGATCAATCTCGGTTTGGCATCCTTCTTTGTAAAAAGATATCGCAAAGCTGCGTGATCTGTGTAAACGATGACTTTCGAGCCCACCAAATATGATCTGAATTTCTCAAAGGCAAACACCACCGCTAAAAGCTCTTTCTCCGTGGTGGAATAGTTCATTTGAGCATCATCGAGTGTCCTACTCGCATAGTACACCGCATGGTGTTTTCCATCTTTCTTTTGACCTAGAACAGCTCCTACCGCGAAGTCGCTAGCGTCGCACATCAACTCGAATGGAATGTTCCAATCTGGAGGTTGAATAATCGGTGGTGACACTAATGCTTGCTTTAGAGTCTTGAATGCTTGGTTGCACTTCTCGTCAAACACAAAGGGTACATCTTTTCCTAGGAGTGCGGTTAAGGGTCTTGCTATCTTTGAGAAATCCTTAATGAATCGTCGGTAAAACCCCGCATGTCCTAAGAAACTCCGAATGCCTTTGATGTTCATTGGTGGAGGGAGTTTCTCGATGACTTCCACCTTTGCTTTGTCAACTTCAATCCCCTTATCCGAAATCCGATGCCCCAAAACTATGCCTTCTTGCACCATAAAATGACATTTTTCCCAATTTAGGACCAAGTTTGCCTTGCTGCACCTGTCTAACACTCGATGAAGATTGGTTAGACACGCATCAAAGGAGGGTCCATGGACGGAGAAGTCGTCCATAAACACCTCCATTATATCTTCAATCACATCAGAAAAAATTGCCATCATGCATCTTTGAAATGTTACTGGTGCATTGCATAATCCAAAAGGCATGCGTCTATATGCGAATGTAACATAGGGACATGTGAATGTTGTCTTCTCTTGATCGCTAGGGTGAATAGGAATTTGGAAAAATCCAGAATCCCCATCGAGAAAACAAAAATACGAGTGCAATGCAAGCCTCTCTAGCATTTGATCTATGAAAGGTAGGGGGAAATGATCTTTTCGGGTGTTCGTGTTCAATTTGCGATAATCTATGCACATTCTCCACCCCGTGACAGTCCGAGTAGGTATTAATTCATTTTTCTCATTGGTGATGACTGTGATTCCCCCTTTCTTAGGTACAACTTGAACCGGGCTAACCCATGTACTGTCGGAAATCGGGTAGATGATACCCGCATCTAGCAATTTTAACACTTCTTTCTTAACGACCTCTTTCATGGTGGGGTTTAGTCTACGCTGGTGTTCTATGGATGACTTAGCCTCATCATCTAAATGAATGCGGTGCATGCAAAGTGAGGGACTAAGACCTTTGATATCCTCTAGCGTGTACCCTAAAACGTTCCTATATTGCTTGATTAATGCAATCAGCTTTCCCATTTGAACGTCATCCAGAGAGTCATTGACAATGATAGGGTATGTAGAGTTAGAACCGAGATAGACATACCTAAGCCCTTGTGGTAAGGGCTTTAGTTCCACCTTCGGTGCTTGCTCCGGGTCCCAATCAGTGGAGGGAGTCATCTTAGATCCTTGAGGTATGTCACTGAGGGTGTATGCTGTGAAATTCTGGCCTTTGTGGTTCCCTTCGAGTGTTTCATGAGTTGGTTCTCCATTTTTGCTCAGAAAAAATGGGAGGGTCGCCCTACCATGAGGATGGGCCGCCTCAAAATTGCATGACTCACTTGAGCTGACAGGGCGCACGCCCTTATGTGTGAGCGGGTCGCCCATTTTTTCTGTAAAACTTCCTGATTGCCCCATTTTCAGACTGGTCGCCCTAACATTAGGGAGGGCCGCCTGCAATTTCTGTGAACCAACTGAAACTGTAGAGAGGTCGCCCGTTTTTGTGAGCGGGTCGCCTGAAATTTCTGTAAAAATGTCTGATTCTTCCGTTTTCAAGCTGGCCGCCCTAAAATTAGGGAGG